AGTGGTTCACAGGAAGGTGGGAGAGCAAATGTGTGGTAAACAGTGATTGTTTGCCATGCACGCAGGTAAATCTTTTCGATATAAGTTTTCTCTGGTAACAGGCCCCCCTATCTAAATTCTTTGGGGCAGTTAAGGGAAAGGTAAAAGGCTCTTCCTGAGTCTGCTGGGCCTGATCCTCTTCAGCTGGAAACAATCCACCCGCCAAAATGGCACATTCTGGAGCTGGCTGCCGAAATCCCTTCAGCGTCCATGAGCCTTTCACCCCTCCCTCTGGCAGGCGTTCACTGAATGCTTCCCGCAAAAAAGGCTCCGCTCTGAGTCTAGGCGCACAGAGAACAAACAGTGAGACGGTTTCTGCTCCCAAGGAGACTCAAGTTGACACCAAACTAATGTCAGCACAGCTCCTCTACCGTTTACTCCGAAAGCAAAGTCTTTCGGTTACATCCGTGCACACAGAATTGGCACTGAAACTTTTAAAAATAGATGATGGTGGTGGAAGAAAGAAAAAAAGAAACACAAATGTTTTCAATTTTGAAAAAAATAAATAAGTAGATGACTTCGTTTCTAAACTGACATTCAGAGGTCCAAGGAATAATGAAGAAGGCTGTATTATTCACCACCAGCAGATTTTTCAGGAAAAGGAAAAAACATATTTAGTCTAAACTTTATTGGACACATATTTTAAGAAACCTTAGAAAGTCCATTCCATGCAGAAAAATATCCCCAAAAGGAGCATTTAAGACTGAACTTAAATGTTATGTTAGGGATCTGGTTATATAGACTTATGTATTTCAAAAGCATCTGTGTATTATTTTGTTTTTATTTGTGATGGATATTGGTGTTTTGTGGGACTTCACATAATTTCCAATTTAGAATTCTGATTATCACACAAATAAGGATGCGTTTTGCCAAGGCTTGTCTTGCTTTCTGCATCTAGGAGCAACTTAGTTCTTGAGTTGGGTAGTGCCTATAATAGATAAAATTGCTCATCCTGATGCTATGATTTCAGAATGGCCTCCCTCTCTTCCCCTTCCTTCCCCTCCCCTCCTCTCCCCTCTCCTCCTACTTTTCCTCCTCTCCTCCTCCC